ACAAGTTTAACACATAAATCAAAGGATTAAACTAAAATGAGATTATAACATAATCGGACATAAGAAACATGTCTAATTCAATATAATTACGATGGACAAAGTCGTGTAAGTGATAGTAATTACTAAAAACTACAATATTGGAGTAATTTTAGTAATGATAATAATGAAATTATTAGTGATAATATTATTTTTAGATGGCATGAAAAAAGAGAAAGTAGTTGGATATCCAAATTGGTAAGGGGTCAAATATTTTATTGAATAATAATATGACTAATTTCAATAACCGTTAGTTGAAAATGATATTAAAACTGAACTAAAATGAACAATCCAAATGTTTTGATGAAATAAAGACGAGGCCAAGCGAATAAAACCGATAAGATGAAGGGAATTGAAGCCCAACATTCAATTTGATCACCATGGCAGCGCCAGGTGAAATAAAAGTCCTTTCCCTATATGTAAATTGAGTTTTAGAGGACGAAAGCCAGGTGATTTCTGACAGTTGAGTGTACAATTAAATAATAATTTATAATTTTATTAGGTAACTTATACATTAATAGTATTTGAAATGATTTTCTTGCCTTTAAACAACGGTATTACACTGCAGTTAAGCTTGACTGAAAAAGAACTTAGAATATGCTGTACAGCCTTGAGCTCAATGAATGCTTCCTAGAAAAGAATAAATTTACATTACTCCGTATTCATTACGCGAGTCAGGCGAAAAAAATAATGATTATCATCTTTCTAAAAAATACGCGGATCGTTTACTAGCCCATATTTCCCAATTATTTGTTTTGTTTTCAAAATATAAAAAAAACACTTATTGTATATCAGTATTTTAAAAAGTTGAAATTTACAAACAGAATTAATAATGATGAAAAACTTGAGCGAAATAACAAAACTTGGGGGCATTGAACATAACTATGTTGTTTTTCTAGATCGAATAGTATAAATAGTATAGAGCTGAATTTAGAAAGTTAACCAACATGAACGATCAAAGTATGAACTTGAAAGTTATAGAACTGTTTTCATAAAAATAATAAGCCTTTGTCTGGGCTTTTCTTATTGAAGCCGAAAATTCTTGAGTTCAATTGCTTCCAAGGTACTGGTAAAATTAGACTTCCATAATACAGCTAAAAAGCTGTAGAGTGCAAAACAGGATGGCACAGCATCCAATAAGTGGTTGTAGAAGACCTTAGCAAATATAAATGACAGCAGCTAAACAGTTATACTTAAAAATCCCTAGTCTAGCTATCATGCTATATATTGAAACAATTCGTTGTGAAATGTAAGTTGTAATCAACACAGGATTTCGAGCATACATATTGCTTCAGCTTGCCTTACTATATGGGTACATCGAGATGAAATTCTTGAAATTGGTTTGTAAAAATACAGTAAACTATGAACTAGCTTAGAAACCTGGGATATAAAGCAGAAACAAGTGAGTGCACCTGAGCAATTCAAACCGATTCTATTTCTTAACATACAGAGTCTCAAAAGATTAGTTGCGGTAATTGCGTTAAACTCAGCCAGGCAATCTGCACATAACCAAAAGGCTCGGACGAAGAGTCAATAAATACGCATATCTATGAAGCGTACAGGTTTGATAACATATGGGATTTTTAAGGCTTGTATGCATCATCGACTATATCGAATGTCCAGGAAGACGGAGGCTGGCAATAAAAACTAGACGTCCGAACTACAATTGGATAAAGAATGACCACCGAATTACATGATATTAAAGCAGGTGGAAGAATACATAAAAGGATAATTAAGCAGCAAGTAAATCTATAGGAAAGAAAAAACCATGAAGATCAGTAGCATGAAAAAGAAGAAAAGTTTACAGAATATATCACAATAAGTTTCACAAACTGAACTCAGAATGATGACTAGCAGAATACATATGACATTATCATAGGAACAAAGACCAATATATAGACTTTGTAGCACTTCGAATATGATCACGTTAATATTCCAAAATTATGTACAGCCTGGCGAGACGTTAAAATGGTTATCTCAGAGAAATATGTTCCGACACTTTTGGGCATGTGAAAGTTTAAAGAGAACTCATAGCGATCATAGTTAGAGCGTTTCATTTTAATATTTAGGTACTAATAGTTTTAATAGTAGGAATGTCAATATTACATTAACTGTTTCTGATCAACAATATTTCAAATGAGATACAACTGGTTTTATTTTATTTGCTACGATATAACAATATCTTGCTTGAGAAACTGTCTGTCCAGCTAGTTTTTGACACCAAAAAATATTTAGATAGTATCACGGCCAGTTGATCAGTAATTAGTCTATATCACTGTACAACAGTTTGAACGATGAGATTGCTAACTGTGTGTCTACACTGCTACGTATATTAGATTCAGTTGAACTGAATTTATCAAAAACATGATAATTTTGGGTTTGAAAAAGCTTTGATGAATTTAGTAAGTAATTAGGCCAACTCAATTTTGTTGCCTAAGTGACAAATCTTACAGGAATACAAGCTACGCTGAAGTGAAAGATTAGGAAATAAAGTTAACCTGACATTGAATGAAATTCAAAAATAAAACGTCGTTAGAAATAGTTGATAAAGGAAAAGAACATGTTTAACAAAAACTATTCCTTCAAAGAGTAAAAACAATAAAGAAAAAACTGAACTCAGAATGACGATTAGTAGGACCCGTACTACATTATCATAGAAACAAATACCGGAACATAGAGATCTGAAAGTTGTTTCTGCCACTGCTACTTTTTGAACGATTAATACATGTGGTAACATTAAAGGTAGTTGTGAGAAACGTATATCCACAAATTCAGGACGAAGTAAAGTGGTACAATATAGAACTTTACACTCGGAAACCAATTATCAGCTACGCTAATCGGAAGATTAGTTTTGCAGGTCATTTAGTAGACAAAGACAAGTATGCATACTAATTTCAAAGACCAGTAACACTGTTGTCCATAGAGATGGCAAACTTTATAAAATATAAACTTCGAGATAGATGTTTCAAACTAACTTATGTTAACAACAAATAAAGAATCAGAAAGATAATCTGGAAAATTACAGATCTAAATAATAGAATGCAGTTAGATAAAGCTTTGGATATAATTTAGAGAAGACTAACGGGCGGTGGCTACAGTTGTAAACAGTCAACAAAATATGCGTGACTAAGATTAAAGTGTTAGTTCGGAAACTCATCTCTCACCATACAAAATATTAGTAAATTATTCTTATATTGGCATATTATAGTAGGACTAACAATAAAGTGTGGCCTAATCTATATCTTTATGTTTTAATTGCAACGAATCTATTTTTAAATATAAGTACAGCAGTACATTTGGTCCCTAGATAGAAGACATTGTATTCAAAATCATCACTAACAAAATCCACGCTAAAGTGAAACGGCTGAAGAACTCTCCCTAGTCTTAGTCCTTTAAGGTGGTCATGAATAATCCGTGGGTAAATAAGCGAAACCAAAGCTCAAAATCCCTCGAAGGTATATAAATTTGAAAGCTGTATCAGCATTGAAGCTATGCTATCAAACATACTCTAATTGGTTTATGTTACCTGATAGTGGGTAATAATCGTGAGTAACTCTAACATAAGTCAGAATAACAACGTCACTGTGGTGTCCTGAACTCGAAGAGTAAGAAACGACAAGAATGTTTGCATCTCTCTCTGTCTCTACAGACCGGTAAATTTCTACAAACTGTTTTGAAGACGTCAAATGCAAATGGCGGAAAACTAGAAATATCCAGCGCTCATCAAAACACGAGATTGAAAATTCTCTCCATGTGAATAGGTTCCTTGAGAACAGTAAACGTAGATGACGTGTTTCAAGCCAGATACTCAAACAGGTTTGTTTATTTTAAAATGATATTGACATGAGTTGGATCAAACCCAGAAATTACTAGAATTCAGAAAAACCAAACACCTTGTTGGTCTTGCTTCTCGACATGACTGCGTAACATCTTTAGTATTCACAGTGTCAAAATCAACATTTTTATCTTGATGTTTTAGAGAAATGAGCCTATATGCGATTAATTAAGACAATAGTTCACTGTCAATTTGCCAAGTGCATGCAAAATAGGCTCTAAAATGCTGGTTAGAAGATATGAAATGCCATATCCTTTGAATCAAACCAGATTTACGCGTAGATTACGGAACGAGTAGTCAATGTAGAAGACATTTGTTTCGTGATCAATACTGGTTGACCGAACCGTCTAAATGATACATTAATGTAATCACGAAGGTACTCTAAATAGTCTGGAGATGTTCCTATAGAATTTGATTTTGAGGAGCATCGGGTTTCATAATTCGGCCACTAAGACATGTGTGCAACGTTCCCCACCCACCAATTTAAATTCCGTTAATGAGTTCCTCATACAGATCTATGATCACTGAACCTTATTAAACAGGCTTAGGACAACCTAATTACCTGCGTTGATGAATATAAAATTAGTAAAATAAAGTGCAAAATTTATAACTAGAATGACCCGATGCTTAGACAAAATAATGTTCACTCTTTATGAGGCATGGTACATAGTCTACTATTCACGATGGTAAATTAGTCATCTACAGGTATCGTATCGAGAACAAAAACCGACGATATAATTCAGATAAGGCAATTCGTATAAAAATTTGATATGCACGCCATGTTTTCCTGAGAGAAAAAATTAAATCCACTTAGAAACGACATCCAAATATATTTGGTCTGAACGTGAAAAGCCACTTGTTTTACCAGAAATCGTCTAAGCGATGCTATGAAAGTGCTTCCTTTCGAAGCGGTGGTTAATGATCAGTTACTATGATGTCTTTTACGAATTACGGTTGTTGATCAAAATAACATGTTAAGGTTTCCTTGCAACTCATAAATAATGATTTTTAAATAGTAACCTCTCGAAAAAACCTCTCAACTTACGCGGTACGCAGACAGCTCAAACTTGATAACTAGTCAAAGTATTAATGAAACGAGAAGTTTGTTAACTCAAAATATCAAACTTACGAGGTGACTTCTCGCAGGCCAAACAATGTCCGTTTATAATGTCGTCCAACGAATATGGGATTTCAGCAAGTTTTTCATGGTGTAAGTTTAAACCAGAGCCTGATAGTTTTAAGTGCTCGGCACATCTTAACACATATTCCGGAAGTTTAGTTGTCCATAAATCATGGACAGTGAATCCTGCCTTTGCAGGAGCTATCCAGGCTTGCTTTTTGTCTGCGAACCTGGTTACTCGAAATCTTGACTGTGGAGATAAAGCTTTAAGATCATCCTCCGTAAGTTCTACCGGAGTCGGAGACATTTCAGCGTTTTCAGAGTGTTTTAGGAGAGATTTAGACGAACCTCTTAGGGGTCGCTTTTTGAGTTCTGCATCGCTTTTCATATGCTTCAACCTCTTTCTAGGTAGTTTTTTAGACATAGTGACACTTTTTGACTTCTTTGTTTCAAGACTGGCTGATGTTGAAATAGGAGGATGACTCCCCTGGAAATGTTTCTCAGAAGTTGGTGAAATCTTATTTTCTGCGTTGATTTTTTCATGCCGAACGCTTAACAATACAAACCCTGGTCTCGTACGACCTCGTATACTCTCAACTATGTCATTGCTTGGCTCAGAAGGGAATTCCAGAGAGCCCCTCCGTATACAGTGATCTATGTCCTTCATCGTAAATGTTTGAGCAGTTGGTCCACCTGGGGGCGCATCAGGCACGGCTTGGCTGGCTGGGAATGTATTTTCCGTAGAATTATCTTGTTGAACAGAAAATGGATATAAGACGATGGGTTGACTCGTGTATGCTACGGTAACTGGACTTCCTTGGGTTGGATTACTGATTTCGTCATTTGGAGTTATGTGTAAAGACAGACCACTTTCGCCCTCAAACTTGGCTTTAACAGGGACCAAAAATGTCGACATATCTGAGTTCTCGTTATTTACAGTTGAAACTGGGTTGGAACTTGCATCAAAGTCAGAGTTTTTGACAAAACATGGCAGTAAGTTGGGGTTTTGAGACTCATTATTGGAGTCTTTAGTTAATATTAGTGTGTCTTTAATTGAGTTATAATGTTCGGCAAGCTGCAACTCAATTAACTTTTGGAGCAACAGGAGTTGAAGATGTTTTTGAGCACTTGTGTCCACGTTGCTCGAACTCTGGCTCTGCATATTGTAAGGGACATCATTGATATGGTTCTGCATACTCGGAATGTTTATCTGGTTTAATTCAGCATCATTTGAACTTACTTCTGAGTTTGGAAAAATGAAGCCATGGCATATTGGATGACTGTAACTCTGTGTATCATCGCCTACAGTCTCATTGGAGGCACATGCACGTTGAAGCGACAAAGGCACATTTGTGGGATTTAATGGCATGTATATCACATCATTTGTTGGGATAAGTAAATTAGGTGAAGATTCGAGGGGATATGCATTGAAAGCTGGTTGTCGAGAGGAACCACTTGGACCTTCTTTAGCAGAATCCGCACTTGGTTTGCGAATATCGAAGCTATTTAAGCATGAGTTTTGCGAAGAGGCTGTCATCACAAGATCTAAGTGAAATCCAATGACGTATTTCAAAGTTGTGCAAGATTCAGTATTGATTGAATTTACTTAAACAAACAAGCTTTCACAATCGTAAGTCCAATCAATCCAGTTGAAAGGTATAGAAGCTTCTTTAACACGCTTTATTTCTTATTGGAGGTAACAACCGGCATAATGGTGTGAACTACATGCCTATATATATTATTTCATGCTTTGCTCACTCTATCTGGGTTTCAATGGACGGTTGACGTATGTTGTGTTATTCCTCTGTCCAGCAATGAGTAAAACGACTTTCACCACACAGGTTATAATTAGACTCAGTCAATTCACATATCTGTATTATCCAAAACGTGTTCATGTTTTAATTATAGGCCATATGTACAACAGGTCACCATTTACTTTGATGTAAGCAAAATCGGTGATCATACAGTTAATTAAACACTGAGACATCTGCTGTGGATAACATTATTATCGAACTCCAAATATACGTGAAAGATATAAACGGCTTCAATAAAAGTCGAAGCATATGAAATGCATATCAAAGGGAAGGCTTAGTTGTTGTTGAAACATATTTATAAATATTCAGTGCAAAAGCGTGAGGTACTACTAGAATTTGAAGAATGAAACAACTAATATGAACATAATAAAGAGCAGTAAGAATACAAAGAGATGAATCATGTAAAGAACTTGTCTTATTTTTCGTATCGTCGAATTGACAGTGGCAAGAGCAAGGTTGAAATGACATAAGTCATCAGGCGTTCAATCAACATACCGTTATTCAGTGTGCACTTGTACAATTATAATGTTTCTACTTATTGGAATTATAGCACGAACTAAGAATCCCAGAAATAACGCAATTGAATTAAGAAGACACAGGCACAACCGAATGTACTGTATTTGGAATTCGAAATCGTACAATCAACATGTACAAAAGTATCATTAGTAAATTCAAACACCACATCCGCCACAGCTTAAATAGAAGTATAAGTGTTTGCAATCGGTTGTATGTTTTCTTGTTAAGTTCATCCTGAGTCTGTCCGACATTGTACTGGATGAAAACTTTGTAGTATCTAGAATGTGCTCATTAGTATGGGAATTAACAAACGAAATCGGAACAGACTCACCTGGAATTGTATACAATCAACATATCGGTTTTGTACTGAAATGATTCATATCTCGAATTGGAACCATAGATTTTTCAACGCTATCCCCCCCCCACGAAATAATGTTGGGTCTTTATATTCCCAAGTTATGAATAATGTGGCTTCATTTAAAACATATTTCTCACATTGATTAGAGTAAACATTAGAAGTGTTTTTGTGATAAGGATGAACAACAGTTGATATGAAATCATCAGAATTGTAATCAAAACCGAGCTCATTTAGTATTCGTGCTTTGCATTGAACAAGTTTTTCACAAGGAGCAAATGCATTATGAGGATAGGTAATACATATGACATCAGGATTTGATTCTACTGAAATATTTTCATGAAATTGACTAAGAATGTCATTGCAGAGCAATGGATCATTAGAAAAATTAGCATCTATCATGACTGCCTCAGGTTTTTGATAATGAATAGGTTCATTTAACATATTTTCCTCAGATTTGTAAGAAATTTCATCAGAAATATGTGAATCATTAGGAAACGTCATACCTGGTACAATAGCATGAGAATTCTGATAAATCGGTTGATTAGGAACTGTTGTCTCACAAGGATTCTGGATTTCATTTGACTCTGAACTGCTTTTTGACTCTTCACTGTCTATTGCAATAGTTGATAAAGATAAATCATCATTATAAATACTCGGCTCAGTAGAATCAGAATTACAAGACTTAATATTAGTTGCAATAACATGAACATTAGTATTGCACACTGACTGAATATATCCAATATCATCACATTTAAAGCATTTAGAATTACGAAATTTACATGAATTAAAAGCATGGAACTTGCCATAGGACAAACACTGACCAAACTTGTGCCCATCTTCGTGAAACGCACTGCAACTCCGCAATGAATTATTTGCATAACCTTGAATATGCACTGGATTAGGATAACGTGGTGTAGTAGAACTTTTAATGTCCTGATGAATCATTTTAGGAAATTCGCCTTTTTTACTGCAATCAAAATTTGCATACCTGACATGGTCTAGTAGTAATGCCTTGAGAGTTGTATAAGGAAGCGAAATGGGTTTTTCCGGCATAGCCAGCGTCCTTAATAAACTGTATGCTTCTTTACCGATGAATGTGAGGAAATATGCCACAATATTAATATCCTCATCATCTTCCTTGGCCATGACCCAGATTTCGAACCTTTCGAAATAATCCTCAAAAGCTTCAGAAGTTGAATGAATGTCTAACTTTTCCATTGCAGGCAGAATCGCGACGCCAATATAATGTTTCTACTTATTGGAATTATAGCACGAACTAAGAATCCCAGAAATAACGCAATTGAATTAAGAAGACACAGGCACAACCGAATGTACTGTATTTGGAATTCGAAATCGTACAATCAACATGTACAAAAGTATCATTAGTAAATTCAAACACCACAACAATGTATCACAAAACCGACACATATTGATTTGCAACATGTTCCGTCACTGCTGAACCTCGCCTTCACCCACCACTCTGAGGATGTCCTTGATATCCAGCACCTTCCTCCACTGGTGAACAGTGATCACGTTGTAATTCACTTTAAGTTTAGGACACATGGAATACAAGTTCGTATCTGCTCCACCCCGTCCCAATATCTGGCGAGCTAATATTCCGGAAATCAGAAACTGTGCTATCTCGAATGACTGGTCGGTCGACGCGGATGGATTGATCGAAGATGAATGGAATAAGTTTAATGCTACATTTGAGTCTGTAACGTCGCCATTTATCTCATGGTCAGCACGTAAGCTATCACATTGCCCTCCATAGATTAATAAAGAAACCCGGAAGCTGTTAAAGCGAAGGAAACATTTCTGGGACTTATCATTGTTGACAGGTCATGCACCATTTAAGCGTGAATACCAAATATACCGTAATATCTGTAAGAAAACCATAGCCAAATCTCGTACCACTTACGAACGACAGTTATTATATGACAGCCGTACTTGTCCGAAACGATTGTTTTTGTATGTTAAACGGCAAATAAAACGTAGTGATAGTATTCCCCCGTTACTGTTACACGACAATTCAGAATTACTAGCTTAATCAGATCGAGCAAAAGCTGAGAATTTGCAGACTACTTTAGCGAAGTGTTCCCTACGTTTATTGTAACAAATACTTGTCCCACTCACACCGAGATACCAACCATTGAATCTGTACAGGTGACAGAGGAAACTGTTCTTCCGTTGATCACTAACCTCAAACCTGGTAAGATACCGGTTGCTGTCATCTCTTGCGGGCATTATTTCAAAACCACTTGCGACACACTTCAACATGTCCCTCTCGCTCGCTCAACTCCCTAGAGATTGGAAGGACGCTATAGTTAGTCCTATATTTAAGGACGGTCAGCGACAGATAGTATCTAACTACCGACCTGTCAGTCTAACTAGCATAGTCGTTAAGTTACTCGAAAATATAATTCGGGTTAGGTTGCTAAGCCACATAGATTTACACAATCTGTTATCTCCTGAGCAACACGGATTTCGTAACAAGCGTTCATGCTTGACTAACTTGCTTATTGCGAGTGCGGGTTGGACAGTAGCCCTAGATAACGGTCTGTCTGTCGACGTGATGTTCACAGATTTTAGCAAAGCGTTTGACAAGGTTTCACACGTAGGTTTTATGCAGAAGCTCACGAGCTTCGGAATAATAGGTACTATACATAAGTGGATAGGAAATTTCTTATGTGACCGCAGACAGAGAGTTAGGGTTAACGGAACGCTGGACAGAGGAATAACACAACATACGTCAACCGTCCATTGAAACCCAGATAGAGTGAGCAAAGCATGAAATAATATATATAGGCATGTAGTTCACACCATTATGCCGGTTGTTACCTCCAATAAGAAATAAAGCGTGTTAAAGAAGCTTCTATACCTTTCAACTGGATTGATTGGACTTACGATTGTGAAAGCTTGTTTGTTTAAGTAAATTCAATCAATACTGAATCTTGCACAACTTTGAAATACGTCATTGGATTTCACTTAGATCTTGTGATGACAGCCTCTTCGCAAAACTCATGCTTAAATAGCTTCGATATTCGCAAACCAAGTGCGGATTCTGCTAAAGAAGGTCCAAGTGGTTCCTCTCGACAACCAGCTTTCAATGCATATCCCCTCGAATCTTCACCTAATTTACTTATCCCAACAAATGATGTGATATACATGCCATTAAATCCCACAAATGTGCCTTTGTCGCTTCAACGTGCATGTGCCTCCAATGAGACTGTAGGCGATGATACACAGAGTTACAGTCATCCAATATGCCATGGCTTCATTTTTCCAAACTCAGAAGTAAGTTCAAATGATGCTGAATTAAACCAGATAAACATTCCGAGTATGCAGAACCATATCAATGATGTCCCTTACAATATGCAGAGCCAGAGTTCGAGCAACGTGGACACAAGTGCTCAAAAACATCTTCAACTCCTGTTGCTCCAAAAGTTAATTGAGTTGCAGCTTGCCGAACATTATAACTCAATTAAAGACACACTAATATTAACTAAAGACTCCAATAATGAGTCTCAAAACCCCAACTTACTGCCATGTTTTGTCAAAAACTCTGACTTTGATGCAAGTTCCAACCCAGTTTCAACTGTAAATAACGAGAACTCAGATATGTCGACATTTTTGGTCCCTGTTAAAGCCAAGTTTGAGGGCGAAAGTGGTCTGTCTTTACACATAACTCCAAATGACGAAATCAGTAATCCAACCCAAGGAAGTCCAGTTACCGTAGCATACACGAGTCAACCCATCGTCTTATATCCATTTTCTGTTCAACAAGATAATTCTACGGAAAATACATTCCCAGCCAGCCAAGCCGTGCCTGATGCGCCCCCAGGTGGACCAACTGCTCAAACATTTACGATGAAGGACATAGATCACTGTATACGGAGGGGCTCTCTGGAATTCCCTTCTGAGCCAAGCAATGACATAGTTGAGAGTATACGAGGTCGTACGAGACCAGGGTTTGTATTGTTAAGCGTTCGGCATGAAAAAATCAACGCAGAAAATAAGATTTCACCAACTTCTGAGAAACATTTCCAGGGGAGTCATCCTCCTATTTCAACATCAGCCAGTCTTGAAACAAAGAAGTCAAAAAGTGTCACTATGTCTAAAAAACTACCTAGAAAGAGGTTGAAGCATATGAAAAGCGATGCAGAACTCAAAAAGCGACCCCTAAGAGGTTCGTCTAAATCTCTCCTAAAACACTCTGAAAACGCTGAAATGTCTCCGACTCCGGTAGAACTTACGGAGGATGATCTTAAAGCTTTATCTCCACAGTCAAGATTTCGAGTAACCAGGTTCGCAGACAAAAAGCAAGCCTGGATAGCTCCTGCAAAGGCAGGATTCACTGTCCATGATTTATGGACAACTAAACTTCCGGAATATGTGTTAAGATGTGCCGAGCACTTAAAACTATCAGGCTCTGGTTTAAACTTACACCATGAAAAACTTGCTGAAATCCCATATTCGTTGGACGACATTATAAACGGACATTGTTTGGCCTGCGAGAAGTCACCTCGTAAGTTTGATATTTTGAGTTAACAAACTTCTCGTTTCATTAATACTTTGACTAGTTATCAAGTTTGAGCTGTCTGCGTACCGCGTAAGTTGAGAGGTTTTTTCGAGAGGTTACTATTTAAAAATCATTATTTATGAGTTGCAAGGAAACCTTAACATGTTATTTTGATCAACAACCGTAATTCGTAAAAGACATCATAGTAACTGATCATTAACCACCGCTTCGAAAGGAAGCACTTTCATAGCATCGCTTAGACGATTTCTGGTAAAACAAGTGGCTTTTCACGTTCAGACCAAATATATTTGGATGTCGTTTCTAAGTGGATTTAATTTTTTCTCTCAGGAAAACATGGCGTGCATATCAAATTTTTATACGAATTGCCTTATCTGAATTATATCGTCGGTTTTTGTTCTCGATACGATACCTGTAGATGACTAATTTACCATCGTGAATAGTAGACTATGTACCATGCCTCATAAAGAGTGAACATTATTTTGTCTAAGCATCGGGTCATTCTAGTTATAAATTTTGCACTTTATTTTACTAATTTTATATTCATCAACGCAGGTAATTAGGTTGTCCTAAGCCTGTTTAATAAGGTTCAGTGATCATAGATCTGTATGAGGAACTCATTAACGGAATTTAAATTGGTGGGTGGGGAACGTTGCACACATGTCTTAGTGGCCGAATTATGAAACCCGATGCTCCTCAAAATCAAATTCTATAGGAACATCTCCAGACTATTTAGAGTACCTTCGTGATTACATTAATGTATCATTTAGACGGTTCGGTCAACCAGTATTGATCACGAAACAAATGTCTTCTACATTGACTACTCGTTCCGTAATCTACGCGTAAATCTGGTTTGATTCAAAGGATATGGCATTTCATATCTTCTAACCAGCATTTTAGAGCCTATTTTGCATGCACTTGGCAAATTGACAGTGAACTATTGTCTTAATTAATCGCATATAGGCTCATTTCTCTAAAACATCAAGATAAAAATGTTGATTTTGACACTGTGAATACTAAAGATGTTACGCAGTCATGTCGAGAAGCAAGACCAACAAGGTGTTTGGTTTTTCTGAATTCTAGTAATTTCTGGGTTTGATCCAACTCATGTCAATATCATTTTAAAATAAACAAACCTGTTTGAGTATCTGGCTTGAAACACGTCATCTACGTTTACTGTTCTCAAGGAACCTATTCACATGGAGAGAATTTTCAATCTCGTGTTTTGATGAGCGCTGGATATTTCTAGTTTTCCGCCATTTGCATTTGACGTCTTCAAAACAGTTTGTAGAAATTTACCGGTCTGTAGAGACAGAGAGAGATGCAAACATTCTTGTCGTTTCTTACTCTTCGAGTTCAGGACACCACAGTGACGTTGTTATTCTGACTTATGTTAGAGTTACTCACGATTATTACCCACTATCAGGTAACATAAACCAATTAGAGTATGTTTGATAGCATAGCTTCAATGCTGATACAGCTTTCAAATTTATATACCTTCGAGGGATTTTGAGCTTTGGTTTCGCTTATTTACCCACGGATTATTCATGACCACCTTAAAGGACTAAGACTAGGGAGAGTTCTTCAGCCGTTTCACTTTAGCGTGGATTTTGTTAGTGATGATTTTGAATACAATGTCTTCTATCTAGGGACCAAATGTACTGCTGTACTTATATTTAAAAATAGATTCGTTGCAATTAAAACATAAAGATATAGATTAGGCCACACTTTATTGTTAGTCCTACTATAATATGCCAATATAAGAATAATTTACTAATATTTTGTATGGTGAGAGATGAGTTTCCGAACTAACACTTTAATCTTAGTCACGCATATTTTGTTGACTGTTTACAACTGTAGCCACCGCCCGTTAGTCTTCTCTAAATTATATCCAAAGCTTTATCTAACTGCATTCTATTATTTAGATCTGTAATTTTCCAGATTATCTTTCTGATTCTTTATTTGTTGTTAACATAAGTTAGTTTGAAACATCTATCTCGAAGTTTATATTTTATAAAGTTTGCCATCTCTATGGACAACAGTGTTACTGGTCTTTGAAATTAGTATGCATACTTGTCTTTGTCTACTAAATGACCTGCAAAACTAATCTTCCGATTAGCGTAGCTGATAATTGGTTTCCGAGTGTAAAGTTCTATATTGTACCACTTTACTTCGTCCTGAATTTGTGGATATACGTTTCTCACAACTACCTTTAATGTTACCACATGTATTAATCGTTCAAAAAGTAGCAGTGGCAGAAACAACTTTCAGATCTCTATGTTCCGGTATTTGTTTCTATGATAATGTAGTACGGGTCCTACTAATCGTCATTCTGAGTTCAGTTTTTTCTTTATTGTTTTTACTCTTTGAAGGAATAGTTTTTGTTAAACATGTTCTTTTCCTTTATCAACTATTTCTAACGACGTTTTATTTTTGAATTTCATTCAATGTCAGGTTAACTTTATTTCCTAATCTTTCACTTCAGCGTAGCTTGTATTCCTGTAAGATTTGTCACTTAGGCAACAAAATTGAGTTGGCCTAATTACTTACTAAATTCATCAAAGCTTTTTCAAACCCAAAATTATCATGTTTTTGATAAATTCAGTTCAACTGAATCTAATATACGTAGCAGTGTAGACACACAGTTAGCAATCTCATCGTTCAAACTGTTGTACAGTGATATAGACTAATTACTGATCAACTGGCCGTGATACTATCTAAATATTTTTTGGTGTCAAAAACTAGCTGGACAGACAGTTTCTCAAGCAAGATATTGTTATATCGTAGCAAATAAAATAAAACCAGTTGTATCTCATTTGAAATATTGTTGATCAGAAACAGTTAATGTAATATTGACATTCCTACTATTAAAACTATTAGTACCTAAATATTAAAATGAAACGCTCTAACTATGATCGCTATGAGTTCTCTTTAAACTTTCACATGCCCAAAAGTGTCGGAACATATTTCTCTGAGATAACCATTTTAACGTCTCGCCAGGCTGTACATAATTTTGGAATATTAACGTGATCATATTCGAAGTGCTACAAAGTCTATATATTGGTCTTTGTTCCTATGATAATGTCATATGTATTCTGCTAGTCATCATTCTGAGTTCAGTTTGTGAAACTTATTGTGATATATTCTGTAAACTTTTCTTCTTTTTCATGCTACTGATCTTCATGGTTTTTTCTTTCCTATAGATTTACTTGCTGCTTAATTATCCTTTTATGTATTCTTCCACCTGCTTTAATATCATGTAATTCGGTGGTCATTCTTTATCCAATTGTAGTTCGGACGTCTAGTTTTTATTGCCAGCCTCCGTCTTCCTGGACATTCGATATAGTCGATGATGCATACAAGCCTTAAAAATCCCATATGTTATCAAACCTGTACGCTTCATAGATATGCGTATTTATTGACTCTTCGTCCGAGCCTTTTGGTTATGTGCAGATTGCCTGGCTGAGTTTAACGCAATTACCGCAACTAATCTTTTGAGACTCTGTATGTTAAGAAATAGAATCGGTTTGAATTGCTCAGGTGCACTCACTTGTTTCTGCTTTATATCCCAGGTTTCTAAGCTAGTTCATAGTTTACTGTATTTTTACAAACCAATTTCAAGAATTTCATCTCGATGTACCCATATAGTAAGGCAAGCTGAAGCAATATGTATGCTCGAAATCCTGTGTTGATTACAACTTACATTTCACAACGAATTGTTTCAATATATAGCATGATAGCTAGACTAGGGATTTTTAAGTATAACTGTTTAGCTGCTGTCATTTATATTTGCTAAGGTCTTCTACAACCACTTATTGGATGCTGTGCCATCCTGTTTTGCACTCTACAGCTTTTTAGCTGTATTATGGAAGTCTAATTTTACCAGTACCTTGGAAGCAATTGAACTCAAGAATTTTCGGCTTCAATAAGAAAAGCCCAGACAAAGGCTTATTATTTTTATGAAAACAGTTCTATAACTTTCAAGTTCATACTTTGATCGTCCATGTTGGTTAACTTTCTAAATTCAGCTCTATACTATTTATACTATTCGATCTAGAAAAACAACATAGTTATGTTCAATGCCCCCAAGTTTTGTTATTTCGCTCAAGTTTTTCATCATTATTAATTCTGTTTGTAAATTTCAACTTTTTAAAATACTGATATACAATAAGTGTTTTTTTTATATTTTGAAAACAAAACAAATAATTGGGAAATATGGGCTAGTAAACGATCCGCGTATTTTTTAGAAAGATGATAATCATTATTTTTTTCGCCTGACTCGCGTAATGAATACGGAGTAATGTAAATTTATTCTTTTCTAGGAAGCATTCATTGAGCTCAAGGCTGTACAGCATATTCTAAGTTCTTTTTCAGTCAAGCTTAACTGCAGTGTAATACCGTTGTTTAAAGGCAAGAAAATCATTTCAAATACTATTAATGTATAAGTTACCTAATAAAATTATAAATTATTATTTAATTGTACACTCAACTGTCAGAAATCACCTGGCTTTCGTCCTCTAAAACTCAATTTACATATAGGGAAAGGACTTTTATTTCACCTGGCGCTGCCATGGTGATCAAATTGAATGTTGGGCTTCAATTCCCTTCATCTTATCGGTTTTATTCGCTTGGCCTCGTCTTTATTTCATCAAAACATTTGGATTGTTCATTTTAGTTCAGTTTTAATATCATTTTCAACTAACGGTTATTGAAATTAGTCATATTATTATTCAATAAAATATTTGACCCCTTACCAATTTGGATATCCAACTACTTTCTCTTTTTTCATGCCATCTAAAAATAATATTATCACTAATAATTTCATTATTATCATTACTAAAATTACTCCAATATTGTAGTTTTTAGTAATTACTATCACTTACACGACTTTGTCCATCGTAATTATATTGAATTAGACATGTTTCTTATGTCCGATTATGTTATAATCTCATTTTAGTTTAATCCTTTGATTTATGTGTTAAACTTGT